GCCAGCGCCACCCTGAACCGGCTCACGGTCCCCCGTTACTCCATCCCGACCGGGGACCCCCCGCCCTACCCCGACATCGCCGGCCAGCTGTCCCAGGGCAGAAGCATGGCGCAGAGGCTGGACAGCAGTATCATTCATGCCACTCTGCGGAGGAACAGCAGAGAGGCGGCCCTGAAAATGGCTCAGCTGGTGGATGGTCCAAGGGCCACCTTGCAGCTTCCCCCGAAAGCCAAGAGCAACGTAGTGACGGCACAGTACCAGCAGAGAGTTCCCACCGCCCTGTACACCTGCAGCCAGTGCAGCAGCGGTGGCGCTGGTGGCAGCAGTGTGAACGCTGGTGGTGCGGGTAACATCACCGGTGCCAATGCTAGTAGCAGCACTTCCAGTATCGGTGGCATGAGACCCGATCTGAGTACGGGGAGTGGCTCCCAGCACAGCTCTGTCATCGCTCACTCCGTCAGTACTTCGCCTCTGGCCTCCCAGTCCTCCTACAGCTTGCTGAGCCCACCTGACAATTCCCGTGACCGAGCGGATTATATCAACTCCGCCTTCACGGAGGATGAGGCCCTTTCTCAGCACTGCCCGGTGGAGAAATCGATACGGCACGTACCTGTGTCTTTGACAGAGGCTACCCTTAGTGTAAAACGGCCACCGCCGTACCAGTGGGACCCTATGGTGAGTGAAGAGATATGGGTTCCTCAGGAAAGGACATCTCAGAGCTCAGTGCCCAACCCCCTAAAACCTCCCCCACTCATCATTGGTCAAGCTCAACATCTGGATATGTCTCGAGTGCCGTTTGTTTCCCCCAAGTCTCCGACCAGTCCCACTGCCACTTTCCAGACAAGTTACGGGGTTGGAGTACCTTACCCAGGAAGCTACAGTGCCCCTCCCCTTCAGGGAATGCAGGCTCCCTGCTCCCCCAAAGAAGCTCTGGCCCCAACACAGTTTGCACAGCAGGAGCCCACAGTTGTGCTTCAGCCAGGTTATCCATCCAACCTCTCCTATTGCCCTTTGCCACCCATGTACCCGGGAAGTAGCACCTGCTCTAGTTTACAGCTGCCACCGATCGCCTTGCACCCATGGAACTCCTACAGCGCCTGCCCGCCCGTTCAGAACCCCCAGGGCACCCTGCCCCCCAAGCCGCTCCTTGTGGTGGAGAAACCTGTGATGTCTCCCCCACCAGCAGAGCTGCAGGGCCATGTGGGCACAGAGGTAATGGTGGAGACAGCAGACACTTTCCAGGAGGTGCTCTCCTTGACAGAAAGCCCTGTTCCTCAAAGGACAGACAAATTTGGCAAGAAGAGCCGGAAACGCCTGGACAGTCGAGCTGAGGAAGGAAACGTGCAGGCTATCACTGAGGGCAAGGTCAAAAAGGAGGCAAGGACGCTGACCGACTTCAATTCGCTAATATCCAGCCCTCGGCTGGGGAGGGAGAAGAAGAAAGTCAAGAGCCAGAAAGATCAGCTGAAGTCCAAGAAACTAAACAAAACGAATGAGTTTCAGGACAGTTCGGAGAGTGAACCAGAGCTTTTTATCAGTGGGGATGAACTGATGAACCAGAGCCAGGGCAGCAAAAAGGGTTGGAAAACCAAAAGGAGTTTGAGGACAGCCAGTGAGCTGGATGAATTCAAGTGCCGGAAGGCCAGTGAGAAGGAGGATGGGAGACTGGGAAGCCAGGGCTTTGTGTATGTGATGGCCAACAAGCAGCCACTGTGGAACGAGGCAACGCAAGTCTACCAGCTGGACTTTGGAGGGCGGGTGACCCAGGAGTCGGCAAAAAACTTCCAGATCGAGCTGGAAGGACGACAGGTAGGAAGGGGTGGCACACACATGCTGGGATGGGGGTGAGAGTGTGGGAAAGCTGTGCCAGGAATATCCTACACTATTGAGTGCCTCCTGCTTGTGTTAGGTACTCCGTGGGAAAAAAGCTTTGCCATGTGGTTGATAAAAAACAGCCTTCAAAGGAAGATGAAGTTCAGTTGTAAATATACAAAATATATTTGGTCTTACTGCAGTCAGAGATGGGAATAAGGACCTCCTTTGGTCTCACTGGCTCTCACTGCTGAAGGTTTTGTAATAAATACGGTAGACCTCCCCAACGGTATCTGCATTTGCCATCAGTAGTGGCTGCGGATGGCAGCTGGTTGAGTGAACACTGCTGCCTTCTTGCCATGCTCACAAAGATTAGTTAGGTAGCTAAGGCAGAGACGATGGACAGGCAGTTAGGTTCCCTTCATACTGAAATTTCCCCTTGTGGGTTACTAGGCCCCTGGGGCTGGTTCTTAATGCTAGAGGAGGGAGGTGCTGACCCTCCCCAGAACAAACGGCTCCTGGGCTGCTTTTGAACCACCCGTGGGTAGAAGGGTCGGTGGATAGTTCAAAAAATCAAAACATTTAATTTTAGGCTCTCTCACCTTGGCCCGAGTGGGACGTTACTACACCAAACCCAGGCTATTAAGTGGTGCCAATCAGCAGGACACTGGACTGAGACTCAGGAGACTCATATTTATTTACTTGTCCAGCTGTAAGTCACTTCTGGTTTATTAAAGACATCAAGACTCTCAACTTCCTCTGATTTAACTTGGGAGTTAGATGTCTTAAATATCCAACATGCATGACCAGTGGTAGTCTTTTCATTTTGCTTGTCTGTAACAACAGCTCATTAAAAAGGCAGCGATCAGAGCCATTTATACCCCTTTCTTCTTCTGTTAAATGGCTGTGGATATGTGCCCATGGGCAGCTGTGCACAATCACCAGGCCACAGGTTTTGGGG